CATTAAGTACCTCTGCCTTCTCCTCATCCTTCGTGGCAAGGTTACCTTCTGCATCCAACAAAGGAGGGAGATTCTCCCTGGCCCTCTTTTTGTCACTGAAATATTTATAAAAACTTTTTTTGTTGTCTTTAACGGCAGTGGCCAGTTTAAGTTCCAGCTGTGCCTTTGCCTTTCTGACCTTTTAACTTCTCATCTTCCTTCTCCCTCCCCCTCCTCCCTACCCACAGCCCAAGAATCTTTCAAGGATCATACCATCTTCCACCATATTATTTAGTATAAAAACCTTCAGAAATAAATCAAACCACTTGCCAAAACAGCATGTCTAGAAATTCAAGATGCATGAAGAACGGTGGAATGTCATTCCAGACAGATCACTTCGGAGAGCTACAAGTCAAAAGACTAATACCACAGGCATCTAAAACAAGTTTAGATAAGTTGGACAGATGGCTTTGTTTGAATGAGAGAATATAAATAATCAGAAAATTATTTTAGTCTATAGACCAGCTGAAAGGTGACTGGTACACAAACCCACACACTGAAGGACAAACCCCAACAGTGCTCCATCATATTACATGTTAATATAAATTACTCTAAAGACTGTCTGGCTCTTGCAGCAGTCATTTCACTGACCTTACTGAGAGTTGTAATACCATTTAAGTGACATCACTGATACTTTTAAATAGGGATTATTTTTTTTTTAATGTCACTTACTTCAATTTAGTCCACATCCCTGAAAGGAAGTTAGATTACTATCTCCAGGAAGAGATATACTTTAATATTAAACTTGATAGGTATTATAATGAGTTATGAACAATAGAAACTGAATCTTTTCATGATATGGATACGCAGAAAGCATCATCGTGCCATCAAAAGTATCACTGTATTACTAAACGTTTTGTACATAAGGGTCAGTGGGACCTTAGGGGGTTGTAGGTTCTGCCTGCCAGTGACCCTACTTACTCTGGGGAGGATGGGAGAGAAAAAGAAAACAAGAAGCACAAAAGAATTAGGTAGTACCATGGCCTGGTTGTGTACATGCAGTGCTGATATTGCAGCAGTATCTGCATACAGGAATTCCAGAAGAGTTTGGTGCTACATAGGATGAAGAAAACCATGCAGCAATAGAAACTACTGTGGCAGTGATATATTTTCCACCATGAGCTATTATATGACAGTGGTACTTACCATGTATGTGTGGCGCATAGAAGCAGATGAAAGGGTTATGTTATGATCATCATCAATAACTAATGCGGAGGAAAAAATGGTGATTACGTAAATGAAAACTGCCCTTATGCACAGGAATTTATAAACACCTCAGAGCTCTGTAAATCTGCTTTAGTACAATGTTCACAAAGGAGCCATTAATTAATGCAAGTTAAACCTGAAATTTATAGTAGGTTTATTATTTAAGTAGGATTACTTCTTATAACTGATTGCTGAAGATTACACTTTGTCATATCTTATAGGAAGCCTACAATGTGATTTAACATTTCTGCTGTTCAGCCTCTGACTTAATCTTTGAGGAGTCCGTGATACTGTAACATTCTCTTAAAGGAGAGATGGTTGGATGGTCACTGAAGAAACAGCAGCGTCAGTTGAAATGCCACCACTCCCAAGTTTTTGACCCTGTTCCTCTGCAGAAGGTTAATACTTGTCTAGTAAAGTCAGAATAATAGATCACGTGGGCACTTCTCATTTGCTTTAGTGCAAAGGGAGTTGGATAATGTAACCCAATATAGAAAGCTGTTTAAGCTAAAAAGAACTTAAGCAGAAAGGGACAACTCAAAGGATCCTTCTTCCACCAGTATCTGTTCTGGTGTGATAGCCTCTGGCAATGGGAGGTGACTGCTACCAGAGACCTAATGACATCGCTGGAAGATGGTAACAGCGAGCACAGCCATTTTGCAGAGAGCCTCTGACCACGCTGTGCTGTGTCTCATGGATGAATGTAGCTGAATGCTGTTCTTAAATCAAATGGAAGGAGCTGCTAGAGGACACTGCAACAGACTTCGGGATATCAGCTCCGTTCCAGTCAAGAACATAAACTTGGAACCCTCTGTGCCAAATTAGGATGTTTTCTTATAGGGTCTCACACATATAGACGCCTTTTTTCTGTTGTGTGATCGCCACGGTAGTTAGAAGAAAGGCTGAAAAAGAATTTGCTATTTTATGTGACCATAAAGAAAAACAAAAATCAAAGATTCTAGCAATTAGCCACTAGTAACAAAGGTATTTGCATTAATTTGCATTTAAAAATACAAAATTAGACACTCTGAGTGATACGATTCCCCTTGCTCTGTCTCCATTAACCACCAGCTAAATTAGGGAGTACTGGTTCCATCTGCAAAGAACTTCTGTGGTGCAGACATGTCTGTAGGTGGGCAGGTTAGGACACAAATGCTCCTTGCAAGACAGAGGGCTAGGGTCACGGTGTTGCCGATTGCCTATTATAGCATCATGGGGGGTTCAGGCCACACTACGGCCCAGACAATAGCCACAGGAGATTATTATCTCTTAGGCACTTAGGAGATATTCTGCAACTTGATTAAAATTAAAACCTGGATTTTTAAGAGAGTTATTGTTAAAATTTATTATTATTAAAATACTAAACCCTATAATTTCTGTTGTTTAAGTATTAAATTTTTACCTATTACTAAAATTGCATACAACCAACACTACAGTCCTACACCATTTATTTTATTGCTATGCTTTTTCTGAAGCTTTTCTGCACAAACAATGCATTGTTCTACTGCAGGAATGAGGGGGAGCTGGAAGCCTGGGAGACAAGGGTCAAGGACACCAAAAGGAGAGTGGGAACACTATCAAGATTGAAGAAAAACACGTCAGCTGAATGCTTCTGCTTAAACTATCTGCAGTGAAATAGCTGGCACAGCTGAAATTAAAATGGGCTTATTCTAAGTTTTAAGCACAATGCAGTGCCATGAGTGGTCCACTTTGTTTCTCTCAGTTTCATGGAGACTCTGCACTCAGGTAGATCAAGATTTGGAGACTTTTTTCAAGCATTAAAGCAAGAAACTTATTATAAATACAAAAAATTGATTAGACTACAGGTTATAATTTTACTGTAAGTAGTGACCAGGGATTGTGGAATTTTATAAAGTCTTCAGTACCAATCAATCAATCAATAAATAAATAAATAAATATATGTGCAAAGCCTGAACTCGCATTCTAAAAATATCTTACTCATTCTCAGACTCGATAAGTAGAGACAATGAGAGTTTAAAGTGTTAGTACTACTAGCTGTCACAATAACTGTACATAAGCTGCTATGAGCAATCGCTTTTCCAGAACAGAGCACCCAATCCATACAGGCGAGGGGACAGCTGTAAGAGTTCAGCATACCACATCCCTAGGCAGCGCAGAGCTCAGGAGCAGGCTTGTTAGTAACAACGCTAACACACAGGGGTTGTTCTAATTCTAAACAGTCAGATGAAGACAGCAGTTCAGGGCAATGACTAGGACAAGGATCATGCTAAACTCCTCTGCTTTCACACCCAGTGAGAAATTCATGAATACCTAGCAAAACATTAATTGCCACCCACCTTCTGTGGTGACTGGGAGAGAAATCTCCATGCAGGCTGCAGACTGCGCTTTTCTGAAGGGGGGCCTCCCAGGCCCTCGGCGGTTTGCTTTTGAGACGTCTGCACTGGAAAGTCGTTTTCCTGAGCTGCAGCTCTGGGACGTTGGACTGGTACAGTGACCATTCACATGATCTGGAAAGTGAATGCAAAAAGTGCTAGGTAAAGTGCCAGCTCCCGAAATTCAGGATGGAGGGGAGATGTACGTTCTGGTATTTAAGAATGGGTTAAATCAGGTCTTCTAATAACTACTTATTTGTTTTATCAACCTAGCATGTATATGTAAGAATAACTCACCATATCTTTAAGGTATACTTTCAAAAAAACAAGGGACATAGAACTGGTACACGTTCTTACAGCTGCAGATGCCACAGCATTTTGTTGACTTATGTGAACTGGCAATTTATCAAGATAGTGCTGGTAACACTGTCATCCCTGATGTTGTGTCTCCTAACGGATACCAAATAAATTTGAAAACTATCTTTCCTTTTTGCTCTCATAATGAACTGCAAGCGTAATTTACTACAAGATAGAATTTAGAGCTAGACACCTACCCTACCGGACTTGAAACCACATGAAACAGGCATCTAACTGCCACTATTTGGGATAATTATAAAATTAGCCATAATATTGCTAAGTATTTTATTCTTTTTATACCACATCATAGATTTATTTTACTGCTAAGGACACTGATGGCTGAACAACTGATTTGTCCGCTACAGATCTAAAGGTATGAGGCGAAGGCCTTGGACCCTTGCTAGAGGCTGCGGTCAATCAGCACAGCACATGCTCCTGTCTGATGGGGTGAGAAGCAAAACATGGCTGCTTTAAACTCGGCCTACATTTGCCTGTTCTTTGTTACTGGCAACAGTTCTTTAAACCACAACAATCCACTGATCAAGGCTTAGATCAGAGTTCAGAGTGGGCTGGACTGGATTACAAAACATTCATGTGATATTTTTCTTCCTCTCATGTTGGGTAAGGCAACGTGAGAAGAATTACTGAACACAATTTTCCCTTCAACATATGAAAGGATACACACCCCGGTGTAACTGTAATTCGGCAGGTAATGCATACTTACTAATTTAAGTAAACAGCAGATAATAAGCATAACAAAAATTCAGACTTAAGCAAGCACACTGAATATTTCTATTCAAAACTATGGAAGCTCAATACTATAGGTAAGGACAAGCTTGGAGGTCCTGCTTTCGTTCTAAGTGTCAGGTTATTTATATCTGAGAATTAGATTAGTTTTTAAGATTCTGTATATAAGTATCGCATTCGGTTAACCCTCTTTGATTTGTATTGTATCCAAGGAAAAGATGAATGTTAATACACCAAGATAAATTTATTTCTTGGTTACCATGCCATGATAGCTCCACTGTACATGATGAAAAGCTATTTCTACATTCAGATGATAAAACAGATTCTATACTAAATACAGCATATAGCGTGCTATTATATGTAGTCTTCCAATGTGTAAGTCACGTCCTTTTCACGTGAAAGCAGTTCAGTCTTGCAGAACAAAATCGGAAAGAATTGTTCAGAATTATAGTTTAAAAAGCAATTTAGTATCTGTACTGCATAATGAGACGGCTCTGTAGGAGACACAACTTCCATGATTCTTATCATGTTTCTTAATACATGGCTATTAACTGAGCTAACAGCAGATATAAAACTGATGTGGATGATTCATTCAACCTATGGTTAGGGAATTTTCCAAAATATGCTGGAACTATTCATGTATTTCAGGAGAAAGTCCTTTGAGATTGGGGGCTTTGTTCGAGGGCACAGGCTGACTGTTCAACCCCAGCAACATCCTCATCCAGCTGCTTCCTTTCTTCAAAACTCAGTTTGTGTGAAGGAGTTTCAGCATGATACCTAATTATCTCCAGGGGGATCCTAGGAAGTGGTGAGGAACATAACAGAGTAAAAAAGAATCATATTCTACAGAAACATCAACAACATTTGTGAGTCCCTTTCCCTGAACGTTGTACAGAATGGGCACAATTCATCTAAACCCCTATTCACTATGCCAAATTTGAAGACAAATGCTACTGTGTTTCTCTTAGTCCGCTTGCTTGTCTCAGTTACCTTCAAAGGCCCAAATTAAACAAAAACAATCAGTAGGATCTGGGCAGCTTTATATCCCTTTAGTGGTTTTGACAATGCCTTTCCGAATAAGCAAAGCCAGTTCCTGTGTATAAAAAAAAAAAAATCAGGCCTCATCCTAAAAGCTGCAGAGATATCCCTTCAAGTACTAAAGTTGGTGAAATGCTAGTGAGTGCTACAATAATGACCAGAAGAGGGATTTTAGTGATCAGCTACACACTTTTCTATATTTTAACACTGTTCTGTTCTTCTGATTAGGTATGATTATTTTTTTAAATATATACAACAAGGAGCAATGCAGCTCTTCAAACCTTAGTAAAAACAAAAAGACATTGTACAAAGAGTAATATAATTATGGGAAGTATGACTGCAACATTTCTGCTGAGGAGCTGATAAGAATCAAGCAGATAAAGACCATACAAATCTATGAGAGAATCCTATGTATATAAAAATTAATTTCTCACGGTTTTTTATGCTATAAGCTCAGTGATACAAAATGTTTCTAAAGAAGGTTATATACTATCTAAGAAAGGGTTCCTTACCACATTGTCCAAAGAAAAGCGATAAGAAAAAACCAATACTAGTTTCCTACAGTGTACTTTCTACGGGAGACTGTGAGAATGCTCATGCTATCACCCTTTGCCAAAATGACTGCAACAATTTACTCGCCTGCTGAGACCCGAGTCACCTGATCCTCCTTTGCCATGCCAGATGTCTTCCAATCACCCCAAGGAACAGATAGAGGAGGCTTGTAAAAACCTGGCTTTTTTCCAGTTTTGTTCGATTTGTAAGGAAGAACATTTTAACTTTTTTCCTTGCTGGCCTACTGGTTTTGTCATGTGGTCACTGGGGCTTTTCTCATATCAGAAATATTAGTTGATACTGAGCAGCAGTTGATATCGGAGACATTAACATTGGTACTTGAGAAGCAGTGCACGGATTGCTCTGTGCTGTTGATGCAGTAGCGCAACAGCTCCTAACTCTCTCTTCTTCTGGAGAAGGCAGAGAATAGTTGCTTGGGGAGAAAGCACTGCACAAAAAGCCCCTTCTCTTTTCTACCCTTTTCCACCACTGCATTTGCCATCGCCTCCTATCCCTTCCCATGGGGGCTGCTGCCCATGAGGTCAAGGGCATTTGCATTATACTCTGTAGTGCTCCTCGATTCCAGCAGAAGTAGCAGAGTTACTAATGCACGACATTTGGGCATCCTGGCTCAGCGGAGCTTATCCTTGAAGCAGTCCCCGGACTGTGTAACAGCCATCCCACTCTGCCAGGGCAGCAGCCTTTTCTCCTGTTTGTGGATAGCGAACGAAACAGCCAGGGTTCAGTTTGCAGCTATTCTGTTCATTGATTAAAAAGTGTAAGGCTCATGCAAGCCACTGGAAGTAATCATAGCAGATTACCCCATGCCACAATACATCAGTCCATTTTACACTGATTTAACTCCACTGACTTAATAAAGCAGATAGTAACAAATTGCATCTAAAATGTATTAAAATATGTAAAATAAAAGTTCACGACATAAAATCCTCTAATGTTCTCCACGTGCTGCTCCTACAGTGCAGGTCCTGGTTGTTTGCCTTCATCTGGGCTCGTAGCGTTGCCCATACGAATTAAAAATGCTTTAGCTATCCCTGTTACCGAACAGTAGCACCATTCAGTGCAGCGCGCACCCCAAAAACTGCTTAAAAAAAGAAACAGAACTGTGCTGGATGGAAGGCCAGTGTGTCACAAAAAATACCAGTGAGATGATGAGATTGAGAAGAACTGAAGAAGCAACATTAGTTACTGTGAACTAAACCACTGAGAGGAGCCTTCCGAGAGACGCAATGTGCAACGTGACAGCAGCAAGCCTGCTGGAGAGCCTGACATTTAATCTAATTTTTTTCGAGGAGTATTACACAGGCAGGAAGTGTATTATACATACACATGCTGATTTGAGTTTACACACAGTAACACATGTATGTTACACAGCCTGCCTTGTCACACAACTATTTTAAATTACTTGGTGACCTCTGCAAAAAGCAAAAGGAACGACCGATTTACCAGTGAAAAGCTGAACCCTTGTTAAAAACACATGTATTAAAAATGTCAGTAAGAAAGAAGAAACAAGCATTTGCAGTTGCTGCCTAGAAAGTTGTGTTACACTAGGCATAACAAATTAAAAAAAAAAAAACCAACCATTTTTTCAGCTCTAACAAAGGGAAAAATTCACACAGAAAAACTCACTGAAAACTAGTTCTTACTAACGATCTGAGAGAGGCTGAGAACAAATGAATTAAAATACAACTGATTAGAAGCATTGTAATATCATCCTAAGTCGTAAGGAAGTAATCAATGCAAGAGCAGGCAAGAGGACCAGAGAGATGATTTAATACGGAGCAGAAAGAACCTGAAAAATGGGTCCCAGAGAATCTCCTCAACATATGTCAAGGAATACAATCTCTGCTGTTAAAAGGAGGAAAAGTCCATCTGTTTCCACTGGGGGATTTTTTTGTATTAGCAATAAATTAGATTTTGGGTAATAATTATGGGTGTGACTAACCTTTTTTCTTTACACAGCAAAGAGATACACATTTAAATCAAGGAAAAAAGATATCTCATAACTGTACAAATGGCCTGAAGAACAGTCTCAGGTTTGTATGTAAAATAACCAAAATTTGTGTAAAAGTAGTGTGATCATTCATTAGTGACAATATAGACTGGCACCTTAAAACTTTTAACAAATTATTCTTAAAAGAAAATCCCTTACAAAGCCAGGATCACAATTTTCTCTGGGTGCAGTTCTGTCAGCCAGGCAGGGGAGGAGGTGTGAGCCCTAGCAGAAGAGGTTAGTACAGAGGTACTGCCAGCAAAATTGTGTATTTACCATCGTGTCCTCATCAGTTTGAAGAGAAAGGATGAATTGCCCTATTGACATGCTGCTAGTACATTTAGGTCCATGCTAAGAGTATAATGTGCTGTCATTGTAATATACCGCCTGTGTAATGTAATGGTATTCTTATTATGGTAATGAACTCCTA